CCAACCTCACTACTGTTGCCACACTTGAGTCCATCGATGCTGCCACCTGGCCAGTCCATCTCGTTGGGGTTCTTCCTCTTTTTCTCTGACCCTTCACCTTAACAAACATGAATCCTTCTCCAGCAACTGGTCCCTCCTGACAATATGTCCAAAGTAAACTAAAATGCGTCAATTCTTCTCAGGTCTTTCTTATTCACTGTCCAACTTTCACATGCATATGAGGCAATTGAAAATACTGTGGTTTGGGTCAGGCATACCTTAGTCCTCAAACTGATATCTTTGCTCTTGAATACTTTAAGAGGTCTTGTGCAACAGATTTGCCTAATACAGTACGTCGTTTGATTTACTGACTGCTCCTTTACATCTTAACAGTCTTTAAATATATGAAGTACTTTGATTCAGCAGATATTGATGACTTGTTTACCATTTATGCTATTTTAGATCCGTGGAAACTTTACTTAAAATCTGGTGTATTATTTGTATTAACCTTTGAAATAGGTAAATGATCAAAGTACTAAAATTTCCCTTGACTTATTACACATTTTACAAGTTTAATGGTAGAATGACAGTTTTTGGTTTTGTTTTGTCTTTGCCTAGAGGTCTGTTTACAAATTTCAGAGGTCTTGTAACTTTGACCAAATTCTACCCTGTGAGTTTTCTCTGCAAAGCAATTTTAGCTGTAAAATTTAATGGCTTGTTATAATACCAGGATGAGAGACAGAAGTGATCTCTTTCAGTTTCATGAGTCCAGAATAATCTAGTCTATTTAAAGATGTGCATTTTTCTTTAAAATAAAAACATCCTAAAGTGACTATTCTGATCTATCCTTTTGTAAACCTCATTTGGGCTAAAGGAAATGCCATTTTATAATGCAAATGTAATAGAAAGAAATAATTTGAAGTTAAATTGTTGGATAAGTCTGTATTCGGAATTCTTAATTTATACTACAGAAGCAATCCTCCTACCCCAGTGGATAACAAAAATACAAGTGTGAATAAGTGTAAATAGGATGCAACAATGCGTACTATTTCTGTAGCATTTACTGTGCTTTGTGGCATTAGAAAGATAACAGCAATCATGGATCTCTGTTTAGTAAAGTATTTGGTACTCCTCCATAGCGTACTGTAAGATCAACTGAAGACAATAATAGCAAGTGTTTTATGAAGTTTGGTAAATGAAAAGGAGCCCTCCTCCTCTTATCTTAAGGTCAATGGGTACCAATTCCATTCACAAGTGGATCCAGGTGGTCACCAGCAAGTATAGTGCTCATTGGTTCCCTTTTAACTTTCAGTCCTTGTTAAGTGCCATCAAGTCTGTTTCGACCCATAGCGACCCTGTATAGGGTTTCTGAGGAGTAGCTGGTGAGCTTGAACTGCTGACCTTGCAGTTCAAACCGACTTTGCAGTGCAGTACATTAACCTACAGAGCCACACCAGTCCTAGAAGTATTTTTTTCTATTGGGCTGACTTTCCTTGCCTTGATGCCTCCAAAATTCAAAACACCAAACTGTCTGTTTTTTTTTTTTACTGCTCTCCCAGAACTCTGGGTTGGTCTCCATGACTTTTCAAATGAAAATGCCCAAACTCTGAAGGCTTTGGGTAGAGCTCAAGATTCCACCTAAAGCCTCATACAAAGGCTTAAACTGAGAACCCTGGTTTTTCTGGGAAAATTCTAACTACCCTTTTAGCAAATCTAATCAAGTATAGACTGAAGGCAGAGTTACAAGCTCTTTGTAATCATCACAACCAATATTCATTTCTTTATTACATGTATGTCTATTTTATAATAATAGACAGGAGAAACCAATGTTCATAAGGCAATCAAACACATAAATCTTTTAAAATACTCAAGTTTGATCTTTTTTCTCCCTCAGACTAATCCCATTCATAAGTGTATGACCTTGGGTGTCTGGCAAGGTGAATTTTTGTAGGCCCAGGCCCCTTATCAGCCATCCTTTTTATCTAGTATGACATCAGCTCCATTCAACTCCAGAAGCTACTGCTCTCCCCTCTTAAGTGTTTTATCCCATACACCTATGTTCTTTCTCTTTAAAAATCTCATGATTTCATAGGTTTGAAGCCATTGCAATGAATTCTGCTCACAGATCCAGCTGCTTAAACAAAGTGGGGACCATGTCTGACTTCCTCTTACTTCACAAGAGATAAAGAGGACTAGACTAAAAATCAACCCAAAGCCAATTACTATGAAGTAGAGGCCAGACATACCTTCACCCTATATCAGTGCCTTTAAAATTACTCAGACTTGAGAACCTATTTACATTTGTGATTTTATTTCCCTAGAACCCCACTCTCTCAGTAGAACATATCTTCCTTAGTCTGGGTTTCTAGAGAAACAAAACCAGTGAAACATATATGTGTACATATATATTTAATTATCAAAGAAATGGCTTACAGTTGCAGAGTCCCACCTTCCCAGCAGAAGAGAGAGTCCCTGCAGTATGTCCATCATGTTGGGAGCAGGCCACATCCCCAAAGAAGCATACTTTCAATTGACTGGCTACTCATAGCCACTGATCATAGAG